TGTGTGTGTGTGTGTGTGTGTGTGTGTGTGTGTGTGTGTGTGTGTGTGTGTCTGTGTGTCTGTGTGTGTGTGTCTGTGTGTGTGTGTGTGTGTCTGTGTGTGTGTGTGTGTGTTCTCTATAATGGATGAATAAACAGAAGATGGAGGAGTAGATTTTCATGCTTGTGTAATTTTTGATCAGAAAGTCGATCACTAAATAACGACTGACAGATAAAATCACATCGACGTCATCAGAGGTGAAACTCTTCAGATGTGGAGTCAAAGGTGAGAAATCAGAAAGATGAAGAAAGATGAACATCACATGATCAAACTTTTTGTTAACAGGTGTCAAAAAATGATCCAACATTTCACAGAGCGGCTCAACTCCTGCGTTAAAGTCATCTCAGTGTGTGATCTCGTCTTCAGCTCTGTTCTGATCCAGCTGGAGCCTCTTCCTGTTGGAGTGGATCAGTGACGACTGTCTGGTCAGGAGCAGAGAGCGACTTGAATGTTTAACTCTTCTTTGGACAGGTAAGAGTGCAAAGAGTCACACGAGCTTTTATTAACTTTATTAAGAAATCACGATCGACGGGATGTTTTTTAATTCCTTTAAAAAACTACAACTCGTCTCTGCTCTGCATCTGGAGAGTTCAACTTTTTTTTTCTAATTTGATTCTCTGTTTTGTACTCAGTCCACAGTAGGTGATTCCCAAACTTCTTCTTCTGCTGGCCCCCCTTTGGTAGATGACCCCCCCCCATTAGCATAAGCCCCTTGAGCCCCTCGTTTTCTTTTCAAGGGGTCCCAAACAGATATTTACAAAGACACAGGTACAACACAACAACACAACAACAAAACAAAACACACTACAGACCAAACAAACAAAGTCATACAACAACAACAAAACAAGGGACAACACAGAGAACATGAGGAGAGAGATTCAGTCTATAGAGAGAAATAAACAGTGTTGACGTTACTGAAAACATAAACAATCAGTTTGAAGATGAGAAAACAAAACATGTTTAAATAAGTGGACCGATGACGAGGAACAGATTTAAAGGAAACTTATTCCGATCGCTGTCAGTCACACGAGTGTGAACACATTCATTTAAAATTCATATCAAACATTTTCTGAAAAAAGTGCAGAATAGAAACTTCAGAGTGACTTGAGAGGAGGCAAATAAAACTCATACGCAGTGTTTCCCCTACCATTATATTAGGAGAGCGGCCCGCTTTTTTTTTAAAGATTTTTGGTGCCTTTATTGTAGAGATAGAAATCAGGGAAAGAAGTCATTTAAGGACACCTTTCTGATAGAACAGGACAGCTCTCATTAAAAGTAACTCATGAACACCAAGATCCCCCCCCCCCCAAAAGCTGTAAACCTAGGGGAAACACTGCATACTGCAACATGAAACTTCACGATCAATGACATTTGGTGTAGATTCATTCTCAATCTTACCTTTACCTCAACGTTCTCTCACAGAATGGGTCAAGTTTTCAATTACGTTTCACTTTGATGATGAAAATCTGGACTTTAAAAAGGAAATAGCATCTGCTGAAAATGAGACATGAGTGTACCTGTTGTTTTGTTCTAAGCTTTAAGTTTTAGTTCTGCCTCTGCTCTCTGCAGTGATTCACTCATCTTAACATCCTGCCTCTCATCCAAACTTTCATTTTTCCTCTTTCAGAGACAAAAGCAGAATAACTGAGCAGCTCATCTGACCTCTGACCTCTTGGTTTCTGTGCTGTTGTTCAGTGTGTTTGTCAAAGATTTGTGTATGTTGGTGGAAACTCGTCTGATTGTTTGTGTGATGTACATCCACATCTTTAACGATGTCTCCCTGTTCTTATATCTCATCAATGACTTTTAAAAAGTTCCTTTTTGACCCCAAAAGAAAGAAACATCAAAACTACTGAAAATCTGTAATCACTCAGGTGAACAAACATGATTTCTTTACAACACCAGGCCTCAGACATGTGCTCTAAAGTAAGCCTCCCTGTTAACTTCACTGTGTGTGTGTGTGTGTGTGTGTGTGTGTGTGTGTGTGTGTGTGTGTGTGTGTGTGTGTGTGTGTGTGTGTGTGTGTGTGTGTGTGTGTGTGTGTGCGCGCGCATGTCACATCTCTGCACAATTACAGCTGATTCCTCCACAGCGGCATTAGTGGCTTAACTGCCATAACAAAAAAGAAAAAACCCTCCCAGGCCTCAGATAACCCTGAGCCCCCTCCTGGAGCCGCTTCCTTTAGGATCTCCATGCCGGTCTACCTCACGGCCGGCTCAAAGCACGCGCCGTCGATCCTCCACCTTGCTGATGTCCGTTTTGCTTAAATCGGTAGAAGTGCACTTACAGCGAAGTCTCAATATGCAAAAGGAAACAATGAAAACCCTGACTTCAAAAATTCATGTCTCAAGCCCTCGGCCGCAGACCCCTCCCCTTCCCCCTGACAATGAATGGACCACAGCAGATCTTCTTAAAGGTTTCATTTCAATGCAGAATGCTTCGCGTGGCGTTTAAAGTCCAGCTCCTGCTTATTTGATAAAAAAAAAAAAAAAAAAATCTCTTAATGACTTCAAATACCTCCATATGATTTCCGTCCCTTCTCTTCTTTTCATCCTCGACAGCAGATTTGAGGGGGCGGGGGGGGGGGGGGGGGGGGGGCGTATTTCATGGCCATTCGGACTGGAAGTTAAGCTCAGCAGCTGCGCAAGGTTTTCCTGTTCACATCTGACCAAGTTAAACTTCCTGCCACCTGCAGATCGGCACTTTATCCGCAGATATATCACTCACATATCTGCTGCTATAGATGGGACTCCGGGGGGGGGGGGGGGGGCAGCCGCTGCTGAGGAGGCTAAACGGGTCAGGTGCAGAGCTGGTCCCGGTTTAAGTCCTGCTCCCATGATACCCATCGACATCCTGCCCAACCTCCCCCACCCCCCTTAACCCCCCCCCATTCTCTCTCTCTCTCTAAAAGAAAATGAGACTTAATTATCCGTCGATCCTCGGAGATGAGACGGGATGCAATTTGTGGTTAATTGCGAATGAAAACCCGACAGCGCGGCCTCCTCACATCCTCACGGAAATGCGCATTGATTTTTTTTTTTTTTTTTTTTGGGGGGGGGGGGGGCAGAGAGAGGGGGGGGACTTTCATCGATCAGTATTGATAGATCTGGTAGTTTGTGTTGTCAGAATCATCTTCAGGCTCCTGGTTAAGAGACCCGGATGAGTTAAGTGGATGCAGTAAGCTGTTTTTAATAAAGGTGACGGGACACTTCATGATTCTGACACATTTCATCACATCTGGAATTAAATTTGAGATTTCACAAACTTTACACAATCACGTGCACGAAACTACTTTGATCTTGATTCATACTTTATTATTTTTGTTTGTATTTTACAGTTTTTCAAGTTTTAATTTAATTTAATTTCTCTACCCGCTTATTTTCACAAATTTATGGACTATTTTTTTTTGTTACGGTTTTAGCACACTGACATTCACCATCATTGCACAACAGCCCACTGCATTTGTCCTACGCTTATACTGTATACTATTATTAGGGTCATTATTTAGCCAAAATAAGGTAAAAGTTACATATAGGACGTGTACTGCTGTTTGATTCAAATATTCAACAGATTAAAAATGTCATATTCTTAAAAGTGATTTTGTGACCCCAAATAGTCTCAAATATTTCCACCTTTAAGTCTTAAAAGAATGCATAAAACATTTGAATAATCAGCTCAGAAGTCTTTTTTTTGAGTCTTCAAAGAGACTCATTACATAACTGACACACACTCCTGAAAAATGGGGGAAAGTGTTTCTGTGTTCCCAGTAAACATGTTTCTGTGAGAAACCGCCGGAGCTCGTCTTACTCCGCGCTGCAGTAGCATCTGCTCGGTCACTAGAGGGGGGGATCTGCTGCACCTGTTCTCTCCCCCTGCGCGATCCTCCTCACTTCGGCTCCGCTCGGCTTTCCTCGGGTTTTTTTTTTTTGCTATAGGAGAATGCAAATGCACTTCCTGTGGTCTCCTGCCATTGGCCCGTCACACCTCTGTGTGGGAGGGTCGGGGGCCACGCTGTCTTTATAAGAGCACGGTGCCTTCCAGCGTCTCAGTGACACTGCGTGGCTGCAACGAGAAGCTTTTTCAGAAACAGTTTGAGTGTTAAGAGAGAAAACCAAGTGGAATTTATCACCTCTTGCATAATAATACACACAGAGTCATCACACGTAAGGTCTTCAACGACGCACCCCGGTGAGGGGGGAGAGGACCGCGGGGACCGAAGCTGTCACTAATCCGCTGCTTGAGCCAAACATCCGGACCGACCACAACACCAAGGGGGACCAGACTCTCCTGTCCCTATGAGCAGGAGCTCTTTCTGCAGCTTCAGATCAACCTCACATGCATGACAACTTTGAAAACTTATGCACAAGCCATTCCACTTTGGATACCCAGGAGTTTGGTTTTTTTGGAACACTTTTTACGCACGTTTTACGCAGCGTCCTAAGACTGACTGTGTGTGGGGAAACTTTCACACCGGGCCACGCTGCAGTGACTCCCAGCCCCCCCGCTATACCTGGGACTCGAGATCAAGTTGTAAACAGCTACGAGGCGAAGAAGGATGCTGGGAAAATATTTCTAAACACGCCGAAACCTTTTACGTGTGACTCGATTCGAACAGAAGCGAGGACAGTAAATCAGCAGGAGGCAAAGTGGTCTGCTGAGGTGAAGCGAGGACAAGACAGGTTGGTGTCTCCAAATTCAGCGGGCTCGAGTTTCAGCCGCCCCGGGGGCTCCTGGTATTAAAGCGTGCATTTGACCTGGGATAAGTTGTCAACAAGAGCTGCGCGCGGAGGCAAACTGGCAGGTGTACAAGTTCATTTACATGCATACGTATATTCACGCCACTATATATAGAAGTTGTCTTAGAGGCGAGCAGCCTTAATAAGTTTGTGCACCCACCCCTCAGCCTGCAGCAGCCCCACGCACCGCCGCGTGTGTGTGTCTATATATATAGCATACGGGCTTTTATTCCTCCTCGCAATCTGTATCCCAGAGGGCTGCCCGCCGTCGGTTTGGCTGTTAGAGCAGGAGTCGTCGCATGGACTGACATGGCAACCGACCTCGCCATGAGCGCAGAGCTGCCGAACAGCCCTTTGGCCATCGAGTACGTCAACGACTTTGACCTGATGAAGTTTGAGGTAAAGAAGGAGCCGCCGGAGGCCGACCGCTACTGCCACCGCCTCCCGTCCGGTTCTCTGTCCTCCACCCCGATCAGCACACCCTGCTCCTCCGTGCCTTCCTCCCCGAGTTTCTGTGCACCGAGCCCGGGAGCGCAGCCCAACCAGAGCCTGACCAGCGGGGTCAACAGCAGCGGCAGCAGCAACAACAGCAGCGGCAACAACAATCACAGCAACGCGGGCAAGCCTCAGCTGGAGGACCTGTACTGGATCCCCAGCTACCAGCACCACATCAACCCGGAGGCGCTCAACCTGACCCCGGAGGACGCGGTGGAGGCCCTCATCGGGAACGCGCACCACCACCACCACCACCACCAGGCCTACGAGGGCTTCCGCGGGCAGCAGTATGCAGGGGAGGATCTGTCCGCGGCCTCGGCGGCCCACCACCACCAGGGCCACCACCACCACCATCACCACCACCACGGCCACCACGCCCGCCTGGAGGACCGCTTCTCGGACGACCAGCTGGTGAGCATGACGGTGCGGGAGCTGAACCGGCAGCTGCGGGGCTTCAGCAAGGAGGAGGTGATCCGCTTAAAGCAGAAGAGGCGCACCCTGAAGAACCGGGGCTACGCGCAGTCCTGCCGCTTCAAGCGCGTCCAGCAGAGGCACATGCTGGAGACCGAGAAGTGCACCCTGCAGAGCCAGGTGGAGCAGCTGAAGCAGGACGTGGCGCGCCTCGCCAAGGAGAGGGATCTTTACAAGGAGAAGTACGAGAAACTGGCCAGCCGGACCTACAACGCGGGAACGAACACGAGAGACCCGTCCGGGAAACAGGCCAACACCGAGTTCTTCATGTGAGAGACTGAAGCATAGACTCTGAGTCACACCCCACATACACATCCGTGTTACATTAATTTATGTTTTTTTGTATTTTGTTTACAGTTATTCCCTCGACAGAGAAGACTTAAAACACAACAACAAAACATTACGCATTTTTTAGATGCGCGCAGAAGTAGTTCCTCCTGCGCAGTTTGAGTCTTAAAGATGTTTTTGGCTGTCAGGTGAGCACGTGGGATCACTTAACCTATAGACTTTTTTTCCTCTGGTGCAACAGAACCCGGTCAGTCTTACTGAAGCACTCTGACACTGATCATGACTTTGATGATTTTGTCTTAACACGCGGAGGTTCATTTTTAGAAACTCAGATTGGACTGAAACAGAATTTAAAAAAAAAAGCAATACACCGCCTCTCTCTTTTTGTGGCTCCAGGAAGCTCATCAGACTGTTTGTGTGTGAAAGCGAGGCGGTCTGCGATGCAGAGAAGAGACAGTTTTCAATATTGCAAGTCTATAGTTTCCCATCCCTGCATGCAGGACATGTATGGAAACCTCCGAGTCATCTCCCACAAACCCTCCCACATGTATGGAAAGCATGGTTCTCTCCTCCTCGAGATGCTTCTCCTCCCTCATCCTCTGCCATCAGTAAGGCCTGGGTATGCAAATAAAAGCCACAAAATGTTTCTCCCCCCTCCCCTCCCTCAACCCCCCTGAGAGGTGCAAAGACTGCGGACTAAAACCTGCAAAACAATCTGCTAGTGCGAAACATGGATGCGTCTTTAACTGCTGTTTTCAATCAAATTTTCTATTGTTTTAAAAAAGACAAATAAAAAAACGAACAAAAAGAGATTAAACTGAGCCAGATTTTAGACTTGTATTTATTTCCACCTGTACATAACGTGTCGAGAAAAAAAAACAGTGAACTGTGTTGTTTTACTTGTTTTTCTCTCTCTCCTTCTCTTTTTAAAGAAAACCTGCTTTTTGTTGCTTGGATTCTTCGAAATGTCTTAAATACAAATGTTTGTATGTTACAGCATGCAAATCGTCTATGGTTATCCTCCTCCTCCTACTGAACATGTGTAATGTCAAAGGCAAGCCTATACTGCACTAAGAAGAGATCAAACTGGATTCAAACGTTTTGTTTTCTACTGATAGGACCTTTGATCTGTTGAAAACCCTGGATGTAAATTTGATGAGGTGAAAAAGCTTCATTTATTAGATGGACTGCATTCGCTGCTAAAACTCTATGCACCAACCTGTTGATGAAAAAGACTCAGTTTCATTTTTCGTTTTTCAGTTTTTTTACTTTCAAATCTTTGTCGACAAAATGTGTCTGCAGGCCTGCGTGTTTCTCCTGCAGCCCGGTGTCTTAATGAGATCTTGTGTCTGACTGGATGCTTGATTGTTGGGGGGGGGGGGGGGGGGGACAGGTGGTGGAGCTTACTGTTTCTTGGAGTAACTCGATGCATTATTCTGTCAACAAGAAATCCCTGGTTCGTGTGTTTTCTGCTGCCTAGATATATGTGCAATATTGTGCAGAAGTGGCCGATGCTCAGCAAACCTGTTGGAGGGCGCAAACTTGCAGGAGGAGACTTTTTTTTGGATCGAAATGCCACAGAAAAACAACAAACAAACAAAAAACACATGATAAATTTAACATTTTTTAATGCTCATAATGTCCGAGCTTTTATGTGAGCCAAAAGGACAAAAACGAAATAATTTAAATCTGTAAACGAATATCCTAAAAACAGAATCCTCTTTGTATTTGTTTAATATTTCTTGCTTGTTTGATACTAATTCAAATTGTAAAAATTTTCCTGAAAGCATCCTCAGAGTGAAAATTCGAATAATCTGAAGATGCAAAATAAAAAACCCTGCAGAGTAAAAACGGAGAGAAACAGACCCGGAAGAGAGCTTCTGCACAGTGCTGTTAATGTATATCTGTACATATGATTTCTATATTTATTCAATGAACGTGTCCTGACTGTCAACAAGTGAAAAACCTACAAAGTGGAGCGTTGTTGAGAATCTTGTTTTCATAATGTTTAATAAAAAGTTCGTCCCAACATGTCAGACTGCCGCTGTCCTCATTGTGACATCCACAAAATGTTTTTATTTTTATTTTAGAAGAAAACGAAACAGAAAGCTTCCTGCTGCTTAATAATTAAAGATTTACTTTTATGTAAGAGTGTCTGAAATGTAGCAGAGGTGTGCGTTTTATTTAAGGCCAGCTCAGCTGAGCTTCACAGGTGTATGAATGTCTTTTTTAATTATAAGGAAAATTATTTTATTGCTGAAATTAATCTGTTAAAATTTGTAAAATAAAAATCAAAAAATATAGAAACAGCTGCAGGTAAACATAAATCCAACTCACACACACACACACACACACACACTTATCGTTTCTATTTATAAGAAAATAATTTGTAACTATTGAAATATTGTCAAATCTATTAATTAAACATTAACATAATATTATAAAATGATAAATATGCTACATTAATTAGTTTAATTTATGAGTGCTGACGAGCGTGAAGAAATCACTGCACAAAACACGTGACCACTGTCTTTCTATTAATGATATTAAAATATTTAACATTAAATGCTCTACAATAACTAAAAATATATATTTGAATGGTTTTATTATTATGTTTCCTTTCCTCGCGGGTTGATTCTCATATCTCTGTGTGATTCTCTCTCTGTCGTCAGTGACGGAAGAAGTTAAAGAGTAGTTTGTTTGAGGTTTAAAATGTTCCTGACTGAGCAGGTGTGCAGCGCGGGATGTTTGGTGGAAGATGCTGCTTTTTTAAACATTCACGGTGAAGACTTCCAGATTCGGCGGACACAGCCGCTCCGCTGCCCCGGCTTTGGCTGCCTGTCAGCGGGCCTCTGCGCGGCCGAGCAGCCGGTGATGGATGGATGAAGCCGGCCTGCCTCCTCCGAACAGAGACCTCTCTGTTTCACTCACTCTTATGTGTAGAGTGTGTCCATAGGGCAGCTGCGCATGATACCCTGCATGACCACAACGTGTGCGCGCGCACTCGTGCACGCGCTCTAAACTACATTAAGCTCTCTCTCTCTCTGGAAGCAGCGCGCGCTGAGACAGATGCCACCCCGCGTTGGTGTTGATGTGACACCGCCGTCAGGCCCGGTGGGTGGCGGCTCACTTCAAACACATATCATAACTCTCCGTGAATGAGTGTGTGTGTGTGTGTGTGTGTGTGTGTGTGTGTGTGTGTGTGTGTGTGTGTGTGGATGCTTCCAGGTCAGTAGAGGAAAGTCAGTGTTCTTCAAAGCAATGCTTCTTCTGCAGAAACATGTTTTTAAGCACCTTCAGCTGTTTTCATTATGATGCTTTATTTATTTTTATTCATGTATTTATTTTTAGAACGGATACAGTGCAACAAAAATGCAAAGTTTGGATATTAAATCAAATATTTGTATTGCAAAATATCAGATTATGAGAATGAAGAGCCTGCAAAATGTGCACATTTCAAATATTTTATTAGTTTAAAGTTTGAATGATCATAATGTGGGACGGAGTCAGGAGCCAGACGACTTTCCACGTCTTGTTCAAATTGTCTAGAAATGTTTCATCATTCAAAACATGACTTCAACATTTTATCCTCTTCAAAATGATTTCTCCCCTCAGAGACAGTCAGCTCTCATTGTTGATACGTTTCCATCCCTGTGATTATGAAGACATGAACATATGGATTCATTGTGCATTCATTCTTAATTCTCATGTACACACAGGACATTAAAACACACTTTCACTTCCTGCTAACCTTGCTCCGTCCTCGTCGTCCATCAGTCCCTAAACGATTCTGTTTTCCAACTTTTCGAGCTAATTAAAATGCTGAGTGAGGGGAAACAGCTTTCACTTCTTTTCACTTCTGTTCAAATTTTAATTTTCCCAGAATATTTCTCTCTTCTTTTTCCCTCCTCTCTCTCTCTCTCTCTCTCTCTTTCTCCTCCCCCCTCTGTTTCAGTCTCTCCATCACTCTCCTCCTCCTTCTGTTTTTCGCTGACTCAGAGGAAAGGTTGAGCAGTGACAGCCATCACCTCACACCGAGTCTGTGTGTGTGTGTGTGTGTGTGTGTGTGTGTGTGTGCGCCTCCAACATACACAGATTGAGATTGTATGCAGTGGAATGAAGCAGAAAGCATGTTCTGCATGTCTGTGTGGGCTTTTCACTCTATAAATCAGGGCAGAGTCCGTCCAGAGCTGCATCATCCGAGAGACAAAACGATAGAGAGGAGAGAGAGAGAGAGAGAGAGAGAGGGAGAGGGAGAGGGGGAAGCAGTGTGTGTCTCTGGCGTCTGGAGCTGCTGCTGCTGAGATTCAACACAGTCAGCGTCTCTTCAGCTCAGCTTACCTACAGTATACCCACCTACACACACACACACACACACACACACACACACACATGAACACAGCGTCCAGACAAACAGCCTGCAGACGATAGATTCTCATGCTTTTCAATAATTACCTGTTGTTGTCTTTTAGGACGACCAGACAAACAGACCTCTGCCCCCCCCCCCCATTAACCCCAAAACCACCAGATTAACTAAAAGCACAATTCATTCATTTGTACCACTGAAGGGCAACAACAACAAAGTGCTGTTTGTTTGTTTGTTTGTCTGTCTGCAGGACTGAGGTGAAAGCTTACCGCCCTAATCATGATGAAACTTGTTGTGAACTCAAACATGGCTCCTCTTTGGTTCCATGAAAAGTGCTCGTCTGGCACAAAATCTGAAAAAAGTGTCTGGCTTCCATGTTTCCATCCGATAGATTCCTGCAGTGAGTGTTTCTCTGCAGGAATCAGAGAGGAAATCATGTTCATCCCGTCAACCTGACACAGAGATTAGAGGGTAAAAAAACCTTAAAGTTACAAAAGATCTTATTTTCCGTTTGAGGTGTCGGCCTGTTGGGAAGCTTTTCAGACCACAGTGGAGGTTTTGCTGCATGCTCATGTGGCTCAGTGGGAACTCTGCAAGAGGGAGAGAGACAACATCACTTCTGATGATTTGAACGGCAGCATGTTAGCTCAAAAAAAAGTTCAGCAATCAGAACACAATGTTTCACAGATCCGCAAAAAAGACGCTGCAGTACACATGCCAGGCCAGTAGGGCGACGGTGTGACTTTGAAATGAAACAACAGGTGCATGAGCGGAGAGGTGTACGTTAACAATGTCTGTGTGGTCGGACGGCGAGGTGGTGACCCCAGAGTCAATTTTGAGAAAATGTCGACTGTGAGGGAGCAGCACAAACAGAACTTGGGAGTCCGCCATCGTTGTTGTAGTTCACTTACTTACCTTTCCTGTTGTTTTTAGCTTTAAGCTAATGTTCATCCCTCAGCTTGCTCCAGACACAGACGACGTTGCTGTAGGTGTTCATAAAGAGCTTTTTCTTAAAGGTGCAGCTCAGTACAGTAGAATCGTTCTCTCTCCCGGGGGAACGTGTTCAGCTTCAAAAAGTTGTCACCTTGCGCAAAATGTAATCGACATTTTTTGATAAATGACCTGCGTGCTGTTAATGCTCACAGGGTATTAATAATTATTACTCCTGATCTGGTGATTGAGTTAGTGACCCCGGCGGCCAGGAGCCCTCGCAGAGCGGAGAGGAGGGGGGGGGGGGGCAGAGGTAGGGAGGGGGGTCCCCACCACCACCACACCTTTCCTGAGCCGGTCCCTCCTGTCTGACGCGCCACAGGAAAAGCAATTTGGCAGCGGTGACGCCGTACGGCTACTGCTGCGACCCCTGAGCTCACAGGCCTCCAACACACACACACACACACACACACACACACACACACACACACACACACACACACACACACACAGCCTGACACGCTGCATGCTGAGTAGACAAATTCAAAAACATGCTATCACAGGAGAAAATATGCCCAAACAGCAAATCTAAAGTGTGTCTGTGCTTTGAAAATACAGAAATAAACAAACCTAACAAACAAACAAATGAGAGCAGAGGGATGATGTGCTGATCTGTAAACAGGCAGGAAGAGTGTGTGTGTGTGTGTGTGTGTGTGTGTGTGTGTGTGTGTGTGTGTGTGAATCACAGAAAATGGGCCACATTTCACCTGAAACGTGCCATAAAGGGAAAATGAGCTCCAAATCTTCCTCTTCAAAGTGTTTAGTGCAGAAAAGCTGTTATCATCTGTGTCACACTGAAACTGTACGAGCACTGGATTCTGTATTTATCGTGCATAAAAGTCGCTTCAGCTCGTTATTGTTCCCGTTGCCAAGAAGTCACTTAAAGACGATTTACTTCTCGTTATTTTATTTCTCGTTGCCGGGCCGGCGGTCACGAGGCGTTTTCACTGAGTCAACCTTTTTAACGAGAGCTCCAGTTCCTGCTGAATCTCTCAAACCACCACTATCA